CTCCAGGAAGGGAGCTTTCAAGAGAAAACCTTACATATTCTGGCCTTTTGCAACTTATGTGGACTCCCTCCACTGCAACCTCCTGAAACCTGGGTTTAAGATTTAGGGACCCTAAAACCTTAAACCCTAAACCCCTCAACCTTGAACCCTAAACCCTGAGCCCTAAATCCTCCTAACCCCTGAAGCATCCGAGGAGCCGTGAAGCGCTCTCCTGGCGGAAGTTGTGGCTCCTGCTCCGAGGTTTAGGGGACTTAGGGGATTTAGGGGATCTAGGGGATTTAGGGGGGTTTTAGGGTTTTTAGGCTTTAGGGCTTAGGGCTTTGGATTTAGGGTTTAGGACTCAGGGTCTACGGCTTGGGGTTTTCGATTTAGGGTGTAGGATTTAGAGTGGGCCTTCGCGTGATTCAAGAGGCCCATATGGGTACACATAATGTGTCTGCTACGCAGAGGGGATCCCCGAATTGAGGGCCCATACTTGGGACTTAGTAGCCACCTATGACTGGGCTTATAACCCTACTTATAATCCTTCTAAGTGGGCTTACAGGGTTACCCCAATTATAAGTAGGGCTCTAATCCCAGTTATAAGTAGTTGCTAAGTCCCGTGGGCCTCCAAGTAGCCTATGGCTTCAACCAAATTGGATTTCCCTTTGGGCAGCTTTGGCGCTTCGGATTTTAGGGGCTAATGGAAGTCACTTCCTGAAGCATTAATCTCCTTTACGAGGGCTGGAGCCTTAGGATTTCAAACTATCAGGGCCCAGGTTTTAGGGTCGAGGGATCCATTTTCTTTCATAAGAGGCCTGTGCCAACCCCAAGCCCAGAAATTAGAACCCTATGCCTAAACCCAAAACCCTAAACCCTAAGCCCTGAACCCTTCGGAAGGCTTCGTGGCTTAGCATCTTAGGGCTCAGGGCTTAGGGCTTAGATAGGGTTTAGGGTTTAGGGTTCAGGATTTAGGGCTTAGGGTTTAGGGCTTAGATTCTTCTTTGGCTGCTGCTGATGATGATCAATTATGGCAGGAATCTCTGCAGAACAGGAATCTCACTGCAAACTGCGGAGTGTAATACAACAACTAGCATGTAGGTGTAATCTTTCAATACATGTTGCAAGATTTCTGTGAACAGGCCCTGATTTTGGTTAAAAGTGCTGAGGTGTAGGGTACAACCCCAGGGGCCGTGGCTCTTATCCAGCGGCTTCATCACCGGGGTAGTTACCAAGCGGTGGCAAGTGTTGTAGGAGACCCATGTAGACATCGTAAACCTTCCTTGCCCTTTTACAAATACCTGGAACTGCTCCTGGCTTTAAGTTAATTTAGGGGAGAGGAGGAGAGCACGTTGTTCCCTGAGTCCTCGAATTTCGGTAGTAGAGCCTGGTCATGCCGCACGTGTGACCGCTAAGCTATAAGCCCGAAAGCCCTAGAACACAATGTCGCCTAAACACTAAACCCCACAAGCCCTAGGTCCTAAACACAAATCCCTAAGCCCCAAAAGGCCAAAGCCCCGCACCACAAGCCTCAATGACTCCCGCATTTTGAAGTCTATGTCAGGCACCCTATGATATATCCTAATTATGCATGTCTAGTGGATGCTAATGGAAGCTGTTTAGGCCCCTCACCGAAAACCCCCCAACCCCAAACCCTGAAGCCCCCTAAACTCCTAAACTCCTAGACCCTAAGCTCCTAACCCTAAACCCCTAAACCCTAAACCCCTAAACTCCCAAACCCCTAAACCCTAAACTCCTAAATCCTAAGCGGCTAAACCACTAAACCCTAAGTCCCTAAACCCTGAAATATTGACAATTATGCCCTGACGCCCTGAAGCCCCGCTGTCCGGTGTGCCCAGAGAGAGGGACTCGGATAGTACGGCGGCAGATTCGACGCCTCGACTCAACTTAGGTTGTAGGATTTAGGTCTGAGGGTTTAGCGTTTAAGGTTTAGGACGCAGGGGTTGCCAGGCTTCATGCCACAAATCGCTTCAAGACATGAGCCATAATCTAAACTCCCTCAAGGGAGTTATGTAAGGGATTCTATAGAGTACTTTGTACTATAGGGGATGTTAAGGGGGCTCACATTGTGCAATGCGACGTGCTACAATGGCCCGATGGTGGCTGGCCATTCAGCCACCCCACGCCGTCTGAGGCGGCCAAACCACCCAAATCCATTCCTGTTTGATGCTATAGTTCTGGCTGGAGTATGAGGTATGAGCGGCACATGACCTTAAAAGGCTAAGACAGCGCAGGCATAGGCATCCTTTCATGGTAGTTTCTCAGGAGGATTCCAGCAGAATCCCTGATCAGGAAACATGATCTCCCCTTGCAATCGCCATCTAGATAATGGAAAAGAAAGTAGAAACTACTATAATGGGGTATACAGGGTATAGAATATGGAGTATATGGTGATCTGATTATCATTATTATCCCTCAAGTCTCATATGGTACACCAATTTTGAGCGACCTCCATGTCTTTACCTGCCCTGGAACCCTGCTCATCCTCTTATTCGCTGGTTTCCAGGAGATATGGTAAAATAAAATCAGATGAAATTCAGGACATCCCTAAATGTCATCATACGGCTAATTTTCGAAGCGAACGAGAAGGCTCATCCCTCTCAACACGTTGTTTTCAAGCTTCATACTGCTTCTTTGGGCCCGTGCACGCTGCGAGTACGAAACCACATCCACAAGGGGGGGGGGGGGGGGGG